CTCATTTTTTAAATCTTATATGTTCCTTTCTGTGCATCGATGTACACATACATACAGACACGTGTGCATACATGCACACTATGACACTTACATTTTCGTTGAAATTACCTTTCACGTCGTAGACCTCTGTTCTTTCCTTAACTTTTTTACTGAATCACAGACCAATCGAATTACAACGCAACAGCAATTGATGTAATTACGCTTACAGTCAATGTGGTAAATTTTTTGAATTCAAGGAAAGAAAACACTTTCCAAATAGGAAAAATGGGAAAGGGAAAGAAATGAAATCAACACGCAGTTGCGTTCAATACAGAATCACAATTACACACGCGAACTTTTCTTCTTTTTTAGGTACTTAATATACATTAGTGGAAGTAATTACTAGAGCATCCGTCAAGTTAACACTACATAGATTTCTTAGAAATTTTAGTCTTTCCTTTTAAAAGAATTTCCTTTTTTAATAGCACGTTTCCTTTTCAAATAATAAGCAATTAGTCTAGGATAATACTTGAATCTCTAGTTAAACTCGTTCAATTTTATGCAACATCAACTTTCAATCGATCTTTGTTCCCTTTCTCTTTAACGTATAGTGCTCGAAAAATTTGATTACAAAAGATACTCGCGATGATGCATAGAATTGCGACATTTTGAGTTTTTTTTAGTGGTGGTGTCGATGTCACGTGGGGGATCGTTCACACGTGTTCCCACGTGAATCGGCTCTTTGCCTCGAGAACACGATATAGTTACGTGTAAGTAAATTACGTAGTACATCGAACCTCCTATAGAAAATAAATAAACCGGAGAGATTTGATCTTTGAACATAGCTCGCCTTTTGCCTCGAGTATCGTTCCATTAATTGGAAGGCCGCATTAGTAATCACCAATTTCCGACTTAATCTCTTTAGTGCGATAGTTCTCCAAGCTCAAATGTACTTGACAGTTAGTGTCCGACATAATTGATCTTAGATCGAGCATTAGAAATTATTTCTTTTCGATTTTTTCAAAATACGGTGTATTCTTGTTACGAAACCCCTAGCAGCTGTTAGAAAAATTGAAGAACTCAGCCTCTTCGTACTTGAATTCTCGAGAGAATTTCTTTCTTCTTTGATACGTTCTCAAGAGAAATAATTCGAATCGAAGTGCGTTCTTTGAGTTAGATCCCCAGATTAGATATATCAAATTACTAATTTTTTTCTTTCTTACCTATTTGTTACTTTCTCTAATGACCAGCGTAGCGTAGAAATTATTCTTAGAAATTTCCACAATGACCACCGTTTTCGCGGACTCGTTGCCTTGCTAATTCTCTTCCAATGGTTTACTTTCTGACACGACCCTACAACAAAAAACTACACTACTAAGCACCCGATTACTCTGTGACACGCAGAAAACACGATTACAATTATTACACTACTTTTACGTAGCTATATTTCAAATCTCCTTACAAAAGATTCGGTGACGGCCTAGAGTGAGATTTTTGTCGAAACGAACAATGCTGTGAACAACCGAACGACGATCATTTGCTAGACGACGTAAAAACGTATTGTATCGACGAATGTAATTCGAGATATGATCGCTTGCAAGTGCAGCAAATATCGTTGATTGTCGATCAAAGGGAAAGGCACTTCCGCGAAGAAGTTCTTTTCACCGTATTTAAAGTTTCTGAACAAAGTATTTGTAGACAAAGTATTTGAATATATGAATAATTTTCGATCGAGTTCCAATAGAATCGTATCGAAAGTATTGATATATACATGTAATAGATGAAATGTAGCTAAACGTAGCGTGCATATGCATGTTGATAATTCGAGTCAATTAATCTCTAAAGTATTATGATTTTCGCATAAAGTACTTGTTCTTTGTACTAATTGGCTTGGACTGTATTCTGTTTGTCCATTTGTTCGCATATGTCTGTTAGTATCTTTAGGAACATCTTTACGAATTGTTCAAGTTCCGCTTCAACGAAATAAGTTGACTTTTAAAAAAAAAATGATACGAAACTGATAATATTGCGTACTTGTTTAATATCGAGGAACATGAACGATTCGCGTATTGTGTTGCATGCTGATCTGCGTTTGCATTTCTACTGCCGTAAAAGAGTAATTGTCTTCATTTGCATATGATATTTTATGCTCACTTGTAAACACTCTACAAATAAATAAGATAATAATTAAAATACGTACGTAAGAATATTGCTTCTGAGAAAACATATACAGGCTTTGCCAGAGTGATCCACCGTCATAGATTATAATTATCACCTTTGCTATAATTTTATTCGATATTCAACATATTCCGTATTCTTTGCACTCGCATCTCAAAGAGAAAGAGAAAGAAAAAGAAATGTGTATTTTCTTGCTGTTAGAAGACCAAAAAGAATTTTTCTTAGCGACACTTTCAAGTGCACCGTGTCACGATATACTATTTCTAGCATGGCCTCTATTTTTTAACGAAAATTTTCGTTGCTACAATTCGTGTTCTATCTTAATCATTTTTTTTTCCTTCTAACTCGAAAGCACGCAAGAGTGATAAAAAGATAAAACGAGGAGAACGAAGAAAAGCCTGTATGTGCTTGTATATACTGTACAATAATATGAATTGGCTTGGCGATCAAATGATCGTTTAAACGATAATCGATAAAAAATTAAGAAAACAAAAAAAAAAAA